TGACAGCACCACTGCGTTCTCCACACTCAAGGCTATCTCCCAGAACGAATTTGATGAAGAATGGTGAAGAAATGGTGAAGTTTTTGTTTCCATTATATAGAAGAAGGGAAGGGGAAGAAGACATGGGATGACATGTTGTTCTCCTGTTTTGGCGTCTCAGTGGAGCAGACGGCCGATAACGCAAGTCCCTGATTGGGACCAATTTTGGTTCCAGTCGGGGTACACTTTTTGGTCCAACTTTCTCCAAATTGAAATCCGTTTGCACCGTTGCGATCAGGCAGTCGAGCTCTATCCAACGATATACTTTTCATAATTATTTGTAATACTTTTTCCGACATCATATTTTTGGGTGTTTGACTTTAACAGAGTCAAAATTGGTTTAATTGACCTTTCTCATAAAAGGTTCTCTCATTTAATTCATATCAATTATTCTCGTGATTTATTTCAATAAATCATTACAAAGTTCACATCATAATAAATTAATTTATTTATTCTTGATTTGGGTCTGTACTCAGGTTCCCAATCAGGACCACACAAATAGTCCACATATTGGATTTATCTCGATTAGACTTATCCAGATTTTGATATTGGATATTAAAAAATATTTCATATCGGCCCAAAGCACAATAATAATCAAAACAAATTTGTTTAATCGAATAATTATTTAATAATAATTCTAGGGTATGTTTCGGGGCGTTACACACACACACTGTTGGGTTATGGAACCCAAGGGTAGAGGAAGAAGGAGAGAGTGTGAAGAAGAAGATGAATAGTGTGGGTGTTGTGTAGCCTCCCTCTTCAAAGAAGAGGGTATAAATAAGGGTGGAACCAGGGCTAGGGTTTCGAACTAATGGGCCGGCCCAATAAGTTGGGCCGCCCCTAAATAAATAATAAATGAACGACTAACGGGCCGGTCCAACAGACTCGACCGCCCCACTAATATTATACAGAGACCGGATACCCCCTGTCCAGGGTATCCATCAATTATACAAAGACCGGATACCCCCTGTCCACGGTATCCATCATGAGTCCCCCACTTTCCGAGCCGAGAGGAACTCGAGGTGAAGTGGAAGTAGAACCATAATCCACCACGGAAGGACACCGTCTTCCTTGCTGTCTGGAGTGCACCGCCAACTCGTTGTCCCGAGCACGGTGAAGTAAGGCAAGAGACGCCATCAGTTTGGAAATGTAATGCCAACTCGCTGTCCAGATTAAGGCGAGGTGAAAGAATCTGCACCCAGGGATACGATGTGCATTGCCGACTCGCTGTCCAGAGCGGCAATGGGAAAGGTCGTAGTAATAAATAAGAAGTGCACTGCCGACTCGCTGTCCGGAGTGGCAAAGTGAAAGAAATCGTAGCAATGAGCATGAAAGGCGATGCCGTCTCGCTGTCCAGAGCGGCAAAGTAGAAAAATCTACACCATTCTGCTCATTGTCTTGAAATGATATGCTCTTGTACAAAGGGCATCGTCTGTTGTTGTTCAGTGCACAATGATCACAATAAGAGTGGGTGATGGAGTCGTCATCTGTAGTCCGTTTGTCGTCTTCCAAAAATCCTCCCACAATCCCTTCAATGTGTGACCCACTCCACGGGGGATGCCTCATTAAAAACTTGCCGAGGAAAAAACCCATGAGGATGGGAAAAAATCTCCGGTAAAGAAAAGACTACATCTCCTCCCATAGAGTGGATCAAGAAAAACATTATAAGGGTGTGAGGTCTTTTGTGTAAAAGGAACTTATGAATCTCAGAAGAGGTGATCTTCAATTCCCCTGGACTCGTTGTCCGGAGTCAAGGCTGTTCATCATAGTGAATTGCCAGTGAGTGCATGCCGGCACGCACTGTTGCAGTACAATGTGAGGTCGAGAAGCTGATCTACCAAGCTCTCACGGTGTGCGACGTGACAATCATGAGCCGAGTACCCGGAGTCCCCCACTCCCTAAGCCGAGGAAGAATTTCGAGGTGAATGGGAGTAGTGCCCATGCTCGGCTCTGGTGGGAGTCTTCGGTCCCCTCGCTCTGTGGCGACTTCCCTTCATATAATGATTTACCTGAAAAAATCTCAAACAAATGCAAATAATGCGATGGGCTTGGCCAGGCCGCCCATTCTATGAGTAATTAAAACTGTGCCCTAGAAAGTGGGCTAGGGGTGTGTCTTGGACGGCATTGAAGAGTGCCTCGAGAAGAGGGATTAAGATGCCTCGTGAGACGAGGGCTTATATGCCTTGCGAGGTGGTCAAGGCCAACCTCTAGAAAAGAGTTGAAATTGTCTGCGAGATAACTTTAGTGCCTCGTGAGGTGGCAGAGACCGACCTCGGGAGAGGGCTTTTAGTTGCCTCGGAAGACGAGGGCTTAAGCTACTGGCAAGGTGGCCGAGGCCGACCTTGGGGAAAAAGTTGAGTGCCTCGTGAGGTGGCTAGGGCCGACCTTGGGAGAGGGCTTTTAGTTGCCTCGGGAGACGAGGGCTTAAATGCCTCGCGAGGTGGGTGGGGCCGACCTCGGGAGAGGACTTTTATTTGCCTCGAAAGACGAGGGCTTAAGCTACTAGCGAGGTGGCCGAGGCCGACCTCGGGGAAAAAGTTGAGTGCCTCGTGAGGTGGCTAGGGCTAGCCTCGGGAGAGGGCTTTTGGGTGCCTCGGGATACGAGGGCTTGAACAACTTGCAAGGTGGCTGAGGTCAACCTTGGGAAAAAGGGTGAAATAATGTGCCATCCGCAAGTTCTGCTAGGCGGGCTCAGTTGCAAATGTCATGTGGTCTTCCACTTTCTACCTGAAAGACAAAATATGAAAAATTCCTTCATTGTTGTTGCTTTTTTTTGGCCGGCGTGGCGCCGATGACGCGTGGTAGCGTAGAAGTGCGATCTCAACAGATCTTATATTTGTCCTAAGCAGGACTACAAGTTTTTGTCCTAAGCAGGACCTTGCGATACCCTCCAGAGGGATTTTGCTCGTGCAATGACGAGGACCGCGTGAGGCCATATCGTGGCGTGGAAGCCCGATGATGCACAGCTGCATAAAGTCGCGTAGAAGCGAACATGAAGTCGCGTGGAAGCGATTTTCTTTTTTTATGATTTTTCTTTTTTTTTGAACTATCCAAGTCGTAGAAGCAAACATGGCGCAAATCTGAGTAGTAATCACTTAAATAAGGAGTCGTTGCATATTTGAGCTAGATCGTGAAGGCTGATCGCATCCCAGTGAGATCAGAAGTGATGGAGATCATTGTAGTCGGATATCAGAACATGTACTCTGCCAAATGAAGAGAAGAATGGGACAAAATTCACAAGGCCCCTCAAGTTATTTTGAATCAGAACAGGCACCCAACTGAACATAGTACACTCGGCGTCAGCAGACTCGGCCGGCTAAGATCACCATCGCCGAACGGGATCTTACAACACTGCCGCACGAACTCTGTTTGTCACGATCTTGCACCTGGACTCGATCACCCTCCCATGCTTGGATTGAGCCCCACTAGAAATTATGAGCTCGGCCTTTGGAGTGTTCACGCACTCGGCCGTGTGAGATTTTTACTTAGTTGCAGAGAGAGTGAGAAATAGGGAATCCACTCTGGACTTAGGTGAACATGCCAAATCAGTAATAGCATCTAGATATAATGCTGGGCATTTCTCGCCGAGGGTGCCCATGACGACGGACCCCAATCAGTGGACCCTCCTTTGGCTGCTGGAGTCTATCCATTCAAAATGGAGCTAACTGATCCATACCCCACCAATTGATAAAGTTGATGTAGGGCCCCACCTTTTCCTGCTTTCCCGCATCTACTCTTTGTCTGACTCTTTCCCGTGCATAAATGAACCCACGCCATTAGGGGTGGACACGGTACGGTTCCGGTACGGTTCCGGTTCTGGAACCGCCGGTTCCGGTACCGCCACCCCATGTCACCGGAACCGTCACCGTGCCGGCCGGTACCGGTTCCGGTTCCCGGACCGGCGGTTCCGGTACCGGACCGGCCGGTTTCGCCCCCCCCCCCCTATTTTTTTTTTTGCTTTTTTTAAAATTTTTAAGTATAAAATTTTAAATTTGCAATTGTTTAAGGAAAGAATGAAGTACCGGAATGTAGTTGTTATCTAAAAATGTAGTTGTTATTTAAATATTTTAAATGAATAATACACTAACTGAAGAACAACCACATTTAATATTCTGACGGTTCAAAAAAAGCAACGAGGTAAAGAACCGTAAAGAAACCCTCGAAGGAGCTTATATATCGCTCAGCTAAAAAAAACTAATTACATATTTACATTAACAAAAAAAATTATAACTTATTCTTCAGAACTCGGACTTCCATCTGTTGTTGCATTCATGTAATGCTCCGATTCGAGTTGGTACGTTGACTCTTGAGCTCGACGTCTTGCCAAGAGCCAATCTTGGTTGCAAACAAGTGTTTCAAGAGATTCAGCGCTAAGACAACTTCGAAAGTCGGTTAGAATGTTGCCGCCAGCACTGAATTCTCGTTCAACTTCTACGGTTGATACGGGAACGGATAACACTTGTCTTGCTAACATGCCGAGACATGGGAACATGTGTTCGTTCCGCTTCCACCATCCGAGCACGTCAAAATCCAC